GGAGGAGCTCCAACCAGCCGTGTAGGACAGAGTGAATACACATACTTTACAGAGATGCTGTGAGAAACCGATGTGAGTTTGGAACATTGAACAATATAAATCTATTCTAGTAGACCTCAATGATGGAATTATGATCAGTAGAAATGGCCATGACATGGGACCTTTAAGTTCAGGGGGTCTTTGTATGCAACTGAAGCTCACATCTACTGTAAGTAACACTTTGCATAATTGGAAACATTTAAAAGTCAAATAAAAGCAATATTCTTTCAGTTGCTTACAAATACTGAAACATAAAACCAGAACACAATCAAAAGTCAACTTCATACTGTCTGATTACGCTTTCTTTATACATTTTCCCTAACACATTTCTTACAGCCCTTTAAATCATTCGGCAAAGAATTCCACTTCTCTACGCCAAGAGACACATCTGCTTTAAAGTAGAACGTGCAAACTGATGCTTACATTACATTTCCTCCTAGATGCTCATCCTCTGAGCTCTGTATAGTTTAAAGCTTGTTAAATGCAGGCAGTCTTTCAACTACTATGCATGAAGCTCACCTCCAAGTAAAACATTTGCATAATTGGACTATTTTTCTTAAGTAGTACAATGTTTGATTGACTGAACACTGCCACCGAGAACACAGCACCTATATGATGAAAACATGTCTGTGTTACTTATATCCAAAAAGCACATACAAAAATGATATGTTGTGTGTCTAAACCTCCTTGTTTTAGTCCCAGAAGACTGAGGGGGAAAAGAAACACATTAAAACAAAAGGTTTAGTTAGTAATACAGCTTTAACAGCTTAAAATAGGGAGGATTACATGTATCCTCGCAGACAGTGAAATCAGTCATCTTTAGTAAAGTGGCTTCAAAAATCCTTGGGAGGTGTTTTCCAAATCCCTTAATTATCTTCTTTCTGCACATTTGGAGAGGTCACAATAACCTTTTGATGGATCAGGTGCAAGGAGGAGACTTGGAAGTGAGCGATTATCATTAATATTAGATGAAATCTCCCTTTTTATAAGTCATGCTAATCAATCAAACCTGTCAGCAGCTTCTACAAACACTTAACCCTCTGCTTGTTTTTCCTTTATTTAGTTCTGTTAAAAAACATTAAGCTTCATCTCCATTTCTCCTGCAGCCTGAGGAGAACCTGTTGGATGTGATCAGCTGAATAGCGATCTGTCAGGAGGAATCATTTCGAATACATGATGGTGTCCTGATCCAACAACAGCTTTCCATCTGCTGGAAAACTCACTCTGACTCTGCAGCTGTAATCTGTATTTATGCAGCAGCTCACCCAGGAAATACATTTCTCTAAACGATTTTGTAAAGAGTATCAGCTTTTTAAAAAATATACAAGTACTTAAACACACATTTATCCCTGTGAATTATGGGATGAATGGTTTTCTGCTTTTTATCACCATGTTGTTTGAGGAAACACTGCCCCCTAGTGGACACTTCTGTATATTTATTCCATAAAAAATGCATTTTTAAGAATTAATTTAAAAGCAGATGCAGACTTAAAGGTGGGGTAGGTAATTTTGGAGGAACCAGCTCGAGTGCGCTAGAATATGAAAATACACAACCGGAGAAAATCTGCCACTTCCTCACAGAGCCCCTCCTCCAACACACACGAACGCGCACATGACCAATGGGGGCACGAGATCAGTCTGTGCCCAGATGGTAGGCTGACAGGCAGGTAGGCCATCCAGTTACTTTAGCCGGCACAGATGATTGGTCGAGCTTTTTACAGCACTACGGCTTCCACAGATGAAATATTTGTATATGTTTTTTGTCAAAGCATTTTAATATATTCATTGCTATCGGGATGTTAAGAGCATTCCATGGAATATAACAAAAAGTGTATCTCGAGCCGGTTTCTCAAACGTACCTACCCCACCTTTAATGTACATTTCTTATTTGAAATAATAAAATGTAGTGTCAATGCAAGTTAATAATCTCCAAAATAGCCCAACACACAGCTATTATGTCTTAAAATCAACATTAATATGACTTTCAAAAGGCTTTGGTTCATTTGGCCATATATTATACGTATTAAATTACTCAATGTTTATGTATTTAAGGCGAGACACCCCAGGTGAATAGGGTATTTTTTTTAACTTAAAGGTATCAGCTAGAAATTTCTCCAGTTAATTACTTACAATAAGGCAATTGTCTTTTGTATTACAAGTTTTTCTGAAATAGCATGTTTAAATATGCAAATTTCCATTATCTCATTAAATATGCACATATTTTAACACATTTCAGGAATCGAAATCTGAACTTTGGATATAGCCAGATTCAAAATTATTGTTTCATTTTGTAGTCATATTAGTATCTAAGGCTTTTACAGAAGGGATTTTGGATATCTCTTTTTATCACTCCATAAATCAGAAAATACTGTCAACAGCCCTAAAATATCCATTTTCGCCATGTGTTTAGGTATACAATGTTGTATAATTCAGGCTATGAATGATATATGAACAAACCCTTCTGTAAAAGCCTTCATAATATTGATAGGAATATAACTGGAAGGTTTGGTGTATGTACGTGCTACTGAAGTTGAAATTTCGAACTCAGAGTAGGAGAAAAAACTCATTTTGAGAAAACGACCTTTAAAGATTGCAGTGAGGCGCTAGCTAAACCCTCCTGTTCTCTGGATGACAGCTTGCGCATCGACGCACTCCGTGAAGGTATTTCATGTTCGGGGTCTTTTGTTTTAATATAACCTTGCTTCGTGCAAGTGACAATTGTTGTCGTCTTCTCTGTGAACGTTTTTTTCGCCGTTCTTTTGGCATTTTGAGATTTCAATTTCTAGCTGAAAGCTAACCAGGAAGTGTTTTAGCACACCACGTGACGCATCTGAACGAATCACGTTGTCAGAAGTTGACACCAGCCAATGAGATTTCGTTTCTTGGTTTAAGACCCCTTTGTGCTTTCACGATTGGTTGCTGATACAAAGGAAATGACCATATTTGGATCCGATGAGATTGTGCAGGAGAGACGGAGCTTTCCAGCGATACCTCTGTTGACATGGTGCACACAGCGGTCGCGGTACTTTATGTTACGTTAGAAAGCTAACTTTTGGTGAATTTAGGAGAAATATACAGACGCAAATAGACAAACTATAGTAAAATAAACACTTAAATGTGTATTTTGTACGTTTTCCTTCCAAATGCCTGAAAGAAAACATGTTATGGAATCAAAATAGCACAAAATCTCAAAATTGACCAGTACTTGAAAAACGATGTTTTTGCTTGCCGTGTCTCGCCATAATAAAATGTAGTGTCAATGCAAGTTAATAATCTCCAAAATAGCCCAACACACAGCTATTATGTCTTAAAATCAACATTAATATGACTTTCAAAAGGCTTTGGTTCATTTGGCCATATATTATACGTATTAAATTACTCAATGTTTATGTATTTAAAAGGAAAAGTGCATTTATTCCCTTTCCACCTTTTATGTAAATGTACATTTTTCCCTAAAATATGATTTTTTTCTACAGTGTTTGGACATATAATTAAGAATTAGTCACCTAATGTTATCAATACAACACAACAAGCTCTACAGTACATTACAATTCAATATAATACATTTTATAGTGTTTTTATCAATTAAAACACAGAACCAGTGATTTAATGATCCGTAAAGCTGTTTTAAATGTTCGTTTTTTTGGTAAATAGTCAAATTTAGTGGCTAAAAATGAACAATAACACTTGAATTGTAGGTCACTGACTTGCCTCTGAAATGCAGAGTGTATACCTTCTCACTTTATGTCTTTGACCTCTCTGTCTCAAAACGACACCCGTGTGATAAAACCCTGTATCTTAAATGATGTCATTTTGCTGCCGTTTGCAGGCTTTCACTCTCAGAGCTAACACTGGAGTGAGGCTCTGGTCCTCTGACAGCTCGGCTCACATGTGGCTTTAACACGTGCACACGGGCATTTCTTTGACTGATACACTGCGCAGCCCCTGGAAACAAGGGTGTGTGTGTGTGTGTGTGTGTCTGTCTGTCTGTCTGTCTGTCTGTCTGTCTGTCTGTCTCTGTGTGTGTGTGTGTGTGTGTGTGTGTGTGTGTGTGTGTGTCTGTGTGTCTGTCTGTCTGTGTGTCTGTGAAGAGGGGTTTGAATGAGAGCTGAGTGTGTGTGTGTGTGTCTGTCTGTCTGTCTGTCTGTCTGTCTGTCTGTCTGTCTGTCTGTCTGTGTCTGTCTGTCTGTGTGTGTGTGTGTGTGTGTGTCTGTCTCTGTCTGTCTGTCTGTGTGTCTCTCTCTCTCTGTCTGTCTGTGTCTCTGTGTGTGTCTGTCTGTCTGTGTATCTGGCTGTCTGTCTGTCTGTGTGTGTGTGTGTGTGTGTGTGTGTGTGTGTGTGTGTGTGTGTGTGTGTGGTGTGTTGTGTGTGTGTGTGTGTGTGTGTGTGTGTGTGTGTGTGTGTGTGTGTGTGTGTGTGTGTGTGTGTGTGTGTGTGTGTGTGTGTGTGTGTGTGTGTGTCTGTCTGTCTGAGGGGTTTGAATCAGAGCTGAGTGTGTGTTGAACGTCAGTGTGCTTCTGCAGGTGTGATTCTTCTTTCTGATGTTTCCCTGTGAAACGCTTAAAAATACTTTACGACAGAGTCTGTGAAAAGATGCTGAGTTGGGAAGTTTTCCAACCTTTGACGTTTATTTTCTCAGCAGGTTGTCAGGGAGACGTTTCATTTGGTTGAAAAGCATTCAGCTTTTGTTAAATGGAGTCTTACAGTAAAACATGAGACGACCTGCAGAGCTTTGTCAGAAGGTTACGTATATGTTTGCTCACAGAAAGCAGTCTCTTAGTTTACTTTTTACATTTCTAACAAGCAAAAATGCACAACAATGAAATAGTAAATGACGGAGCACAAAGAGGACGAACTTATGACCACGCCTTCTTTTTGTTGAGTTCAGTTTCTAAGAAGTTATAGTACGTTCTGATAATCTACTCGTTATGCTAACAAAGCATTGCAGACAGAAAATCTCCTTTCTTGAGACATTCATGTTCTATTTATTTATATCTGTACCTCAATATCTTTTACATATTTATTTGACAGGCGCAGATACAATTTGCATAAACAAGCAGATAACAGCTATTAAATTCTTTAAATTATATGTTTTATATATATTTATATTTCTTTAATACATGACGCTTGTATAGCGCTTTTCTAGAAACTCAGACGCTTGTTCTGCAACTGCTAACAACAATTCTCCTCAGGAATAAATACACATCTGTATTATCTGATTTAATGATATGGGTTGTAAAAAAAAAACTGCCAAGCTATAAGAGAAGACACTTCAACATATTTGTAATGTATTAAATCAGACATTTTGGCAATGCCTAACAAAGATCTCCGTAAGATGGAAAGGTTGATCCTTTCCTTAGTTTAAATATTTGATCCAACACCAGGTGTTTTCATACCTTCTGACTTAGCATTCATTGCATCATCTGTGTTGTTTTGAAGCTGCAGAATCAGAAATATATTGTAAAGGTGGTCTCATCCTAGTCCCTTAATTACCTATATATGTGACATCTACCAGGGTGATCTATTGGTGTGTAATGCAGCAGTGAGGGTGGAGCGTCCAGCAGCACAGCCAATCAGAGTACTGAAGTCTGCAGAATGATCATATCCCTCTCTGGTCTTTTAACTCTACATCATGAAGTCAGAGTAATGTCGCTATGTGTCCTGTGTTTATCTACTTCCCAGTCCTAAAGCAGCTCCATCTCTTCTCCCTCAGAAGGACACAGTCAGCCTCCTCTTCATGTAGAGAAAGGCGAGGTACGCGGCCCCTCCCAGGACCCCGATGAGCATCGTGGTGCCGAGGATCATCGGAGCGTTCTTCCTCGCCACTTTGAACGCCACGGGAAGCACGGCGGAGATCAGGATGTTGTTGACGTGTCCGAGCACCCTCCTGAAGGCCGGCCGCTGAACCACTCGCTCGTAGTACGTCTCTAGATTTACCCGAGTCCCCTCGCCCCAAAACCGCTGGGACAGACCCAGGAACTTGAGGCGGTGCAGGGTGACGGCCAGAGAGACGTCGGCCATGCTGAAGAAGTCTCCGCACAGCCAGGAGGGACTGCCTTCGTCTGGGAGGGGAAGAGAAAGAGACGTGAGAGCAACAGAAAGGACAGGTGGGAGATGTCTGCTGAGAGAAGAGGAGGAAGAACCTTACAAATCTGTCATGTTCATACATTTTGCAGGACATTACAGGCACACAGATATGCCTCTGACAGCAGATTTAGACAGGTGTGAGATTTCTGCTGAGCGAAGAGGAGGAAAATCTATTTTGGGGAAAAAATTACAGGCAATCATACACTTGTCAATGTCCATATTCTGGCCTTGTTTGCTTTCCTTTAGACAAGGGGAAAGAGAAGCTCCATAAGCATCATTGAGGTTGTTATTTCACTAACTTCCTCTGTTCGTGTCTGTAGATCAGGGGTGTCCAAACTACGGACCATTTTGAATCGGCGCTCACTCAGCAAATTCAAAAAGTATAATGACTTAAGTATAATAAACTTCTTCTTGTCTTATATTGTACTTCTTAAATATATATTATTTATTATATCGGAGGCGTGTGGTGCAGTGGGTTGTGCGTTGGTGTTCGGGTCAGGGGGGCACAGGTTCAAACCCCACTGCAGTCAGCATGTCGTTGTGTCCCTGAAGACACTTCACCCCAAAGTGCTCCTGTGGAGATTGTCCTCAGTACTGAGTATGTAAGTCGCTTTGGATAAAAGCGTCTAACAAGTGACATGTGATGTCTATTACACAGTATTCATGTATTCATGTATTCATATATTCATAGGCCCAATTTTCAAATAAATTCAGTCAATTCACATAACAACCTTGAAATATTTCCTCTCAATCTGAAGCTTCTGTTTTAAGGAATGATCTGCTAAGAAGATAAATGAAACCCTCTGGAGAGCAGTGAGCTGTTTTTTTCTTAAAGCATTTTCAAGTATCAAGAATCATTTACCATTGGATTGACTTTTCCAACTTATAACAGAACTTACGAGGCGATACACCTCTAGCGAGCGGCCCAGCCCTTCGTATATCTGTCTGTATGTTTGGACCCCCCTGCTGTGAATAAACACGGTGTCAGTCTGACGGAGTACCTGGCGTCTCCTCCACGCGTCTCTGCAGCTCCGTCTCCACCTGGTCCATCACCCCCTCCAGCTCATCCAGAAGCTTCTTCAGGTACTTCATGTTGTCGTGGTCAAACAGCTTCGACTGCAGGGACATGTTCAGACAGAAGAGCATCAGAGCACTTTCTGAGCAGGACTCATTTAGACACAAGGCCAGTGGCCAGCACATGTTATACCAAAACGCATCAGTCCTCTTGGTTTTCCATCATGAATATGCTACGGCCATTTAATTCCAAAACACAACAGCTTGTCTTACTCAGCACTCAGCTAACTTATTGTAATACTTGATGTTAAATAACTTACTTTCAGGCGCCTTTGTTTTGCAACGTACGCGTCTTTAAGGTCCGGGTTCTGCTCCGCCAGTTTCTTCAGCTCAGACTGAGTGTTTCCCGATTTGTGCTGTACACACACACACACACACACACACACACACACACACACACACACACACACACACACACACACACACACACACACACACACACACACACACACACACACACACACACACACACACACACACACACACACACACACACACACACACACACACACACCCACAACACACACACACACACACACACACACACACACACACACACACACACACACACACACACACACACACACACACACACACACACACACACACACACACACACACACACCATACACACAAAAACACACACACACACACATACACACACACACACACACAACACACACACACAGCACAACACACACACACACACACACACAGACACACACCAGACACACACCCACAGACACACACACACACAGACACACACACACACAGACACACACACCCACAGACAGACACAAACACACACAGACACACACACACACACAGACACACACACACCCACAGACAGACACAAACACACACAGACACACACACACACAACACACACAGACAGACAGACAGACACACACACGCACACACACACACACAGACAGACACACACAGACAGACACATACACACACAGACACACACCCACAGACACACACACACACACACACACACACACACACACCCAGCGTCATGTTAGTCTAATGGGGTAGAAAAATCACATCAAAAGTCCATATATATTTTATCAAATTGTGTATCCCTGAGTTACATCCACTTGATGCAACCGTACCTATTTTCCTGTAATTCAGTCATAAACGGAGAGTTTCCCATGAACAGCAGTATGAGTGTCCACACCGACTACAACGCTGTTTCGCCTCTCTTTGTAGTCCATCTGGTGTCGATTTCTAGACCTTTTTGAGCCAATCTATGTTTGTCTGCATGTTGCTCTGTGGGAGGAGCCTGTGACCTCAGGTCTGCATTGATATATCTACACTGTAGCTACAGTATGTACACATGACAATAAAAGCCTTGAATCTTGAATTAATGCTGCAGTAACACAGCTGTATAGATCTACTCGAGCGCATCACAGCGTGTCTTACTCCGTATGCATGTGGCAGCGTAGGCCGGTATGTGTGAGTCCACGGTGATCTCGGGGTGGAGGAGGCACCCGTGGGTGTAGGCGTCCATCTGAAGGGAGTCCAGCAGCTCTCTGTAGTGCTGCACCCTGATGAAGTACGCACTGCCCTCCTCAGGGATCAGCCGGGGCGTGCCTTCTGCAGAAGAGAGAGAGAGAGAGAGAGAGAGAGAGAGAGAGAGAGAGAGAGAGAGAGAGAGAGAGAGAGAGAGAGAGAGAGAGAGAGAGAGAGAGAGAGAGAGAGAGAACGAAAAGGAAGGAGACATCGTCTTTTTGATAGCTATGTGATTAACATGATGATTCAGCCTCGATGGAGAGAGACATCAAGCATGCTCATTTCTGACGTGGAGCTAATCTGAAGTAAACATTGAATACTGCTTTCTATTCCTCCATCTTGTGACTGAGTAACTCCCTCTCTTGATATCAGCATGTGAAGGACACTGTTCAGGAACTAGTTGATGCTCTGTATGTGATGACTCCTTCCATTCTGGAGAGGATCACAGATACATGGATCCTGAGGATTGAAGCTCAAGACGGGGACGAGTGAGAGTTTCTAACAAAAAGTGGTTTTACACAAAGTCAAAGAAAAGACAACACAAGGGCCACAAATGCTCGATCAATGCTTACCAGACTTTCTCCCTTGATGGCGACCTGATGAGTTTCTTAGAACAAAGCTATGATGGATCAGTGCAAACCAAGAGAGAACGGAAAATAAAATAAAGAAATGAATGCATGACAAAACAAATCATAATTTAAAAACTTGGAATAAAGAAAACCAACGTCTGAATGAGCCCACCTTGTACTTTGTATATATATTTAAGTTGTGTATTTCCTCTCACCCTCAGTGAAGGTGTGCTCCAGGTAGTCCATGATGTGCACGGGGTCACAGAGGATCTTTTCTTTGTGCGCGAGCACGGGCACCTCTCCGGTCGGGTTCAGGTGCATAAACCACGGCTCGTTGTGTTCGCTGAGCGGCAAACTCACATCGTATTCCTCACAGCGAAGACCCTTCTCTGCGATGGCCAGACGCACCTGCAGAGCATGAAGGATACTGTTTTACCTCCTTGTTCCTACACTGAGTGCTTCTGTTCATTCACGATGATAGCGTACGTATTTAAGTTCCTCACAAATTACTATTAGAAGACAGATAATGTAAAAACACTATAAAAAATACTTTTGTGTCTCCAGATCCAAAAGAAAAAGACGATAACGTTGCGTTATTCCAACACTTGTTGCTCTTGCCTTGCCTTGCCTTGTTTAAGCAGGATTATAGCATGTGCATTTTTATATTCTCACATGTTACAATTTAAACAAGACAGATAAACCATGCGGTGGTATAAAAAGAAATGCATTTAAATAAACAAAGTAACATAAGTATTAATATAACAATTAAAAACAACACACATAGCTATCTCCCTGAAAGCACAATGGACTGACAAATAGCTTTTTACAAGACCCTTTCAAAGTCTAAAAGCAAAAACGACTATAAAAGTATATAGTAATCAGTGCCATTAACAGATGAAGTATAAGTTAGTATAACTAAATTGTACATGTTCACAAGAAAGTGGACATTTATTTAGAGGTATACTAAAGGTTCATGTTCTTAACATGTTCTGAAAAACAGGCTCAGGGCTTAACAGGTTAAAAGACACTTGAATATCAAGATTTTCTTCCAGTTGTGACCAAGTCTGAGGCCAAGGCAGAGAATATTTCTGCAATAAAGTACAGATTTGACCATCAGGAGCAATAGCAGTGTTCACATGTAACTAAGATGTCTAAATATCTACAGCTTCCAGACAAACATGAATAATTATAACACCATAAAGATGAAACTATAGATCTAATGAATCCTAATTGAGGAGCTGTCCCCTTCAGTGGTGCTGAAATTGAAGTGAGATTTGATAATCAATAAAGTATGAATTCTCTTCAATGAGACAACAGTTTAACCAAGAGACACAATTGCAGTGTTCACAGGTAATAAGGAGCTCTAAATATCTACATTTCCTCACACTAATGACATTATTTATAATGGTTTGAAAACACAGAAGGATTTAATTAGACTTCTTAGAAAAGAGCTGTCCCCTGCAGAGGTGCTGAAGCGAAGAAGACCCTCACCTTCTGGGAGTTAAAGGACTGGGTCCAGTGGTACAAAGTGAGTTGGTTCCCTCTTTGTTCGGCCACTGAGGAACATTCCCGATGTCCATCTTGTTCTGGAAGCTTCTCTATCAGAGAGGCTGTCTCTTCTTGGGTTTCAGGAGGGTTTCCAGACGCCATTTTCTCTGTTAGTGTGTACGAGGGACGAGAGAGAGGAGAGCACACCCATCACGGTGAACGAATCAAACGCCCCCTGCTGGCGGGGAGGGGAATTACACCTGCTTTCTTTCTTTTTTTTAACTTTTTCTTTTTCATTCGACAAATAACACACAAGTTCATCGGTAGCAAAAACAAGAAAACACAAAACAGGGGACCACAATACTCCATGTGTACAGGCTCATTGTTAAATCTGCTTTAGAAATGTATTTCGCAATAGGCTAAGGAAACTAAAACAAAACTGTGTATTTCTATTAAAAAAAGAGGTAATATACTACAATTAATAATAACTAAATAGAAAATGTAGGCAATATATTTGTTTAATACCTTTACAAACTAAATATAAGAGCACATGTCTTCTTGTTTTTCACTACACTTTCACATTACAGATTTTAAACATTTTACTATTTAATATTTACCAGCTCCAGCTTTGCAATGAATGCATCTGGACAGCAGGGGTCGCTGTTCTCTATTTCTTCAAAGTGAGAGGAACTGTTTTGATCATCAGCTGGTGATATGTATTATATTAAAAGTTAATCATACATGCACATTGTCTTTTCTTCAACGCTTAGATCCATTTATATGAAACAATAATAGTACAATAACATTCATTTACATTCACAGATATAACACAGCTTATATCAAATATGTAGTATTGTATATTTAAAAACAGTATAACAAGTTAAAAAGATTATAAAATACATCTTAATAAATACATTTAAACAGAAAGCCAAATTCTTACCACCATCCTTGAAAAACACAATTTATTGAGCTTTGACCATTTTCAGTCTTGTGTATGTGTTTTTTTTACAATTGTTTACATGGACTGAAACAAATAGACGTGCCATCACCGCTAAATGCACTTTAACACAGGGGTATCTCCTCTCGCACTTTAGGTGTGTATCTTCTCTTGCACTTAATATGCCGTTGCTGCTATATTGTATTACCATGTCATAAAAAGCACTTATGGCGCGTTTCCACTGCAGGCCTCGCTCGGCCTCGCTCGGTTTGGTTAGGCCTTATTAGGCCCGGCTCACTTTAATGCTGCGCTTCCATTACATTTAGGAACTGGGGTAGTTACTATAGTAACGCAGTGTAGGCGGAGCCGTGACGTCATCTTCAATGAGAGCCCCAGAAAAACAACACAGCCGTTAGCTGTTAGCACTCAGAGCTCACAGCTCCTCATATCTGTTCAGAAACTAGACAAAAGTTAAACAAGTACAAACCACAGACTGCCTGTGTCATGGAGAATACAGTCGCTGGTTTATTTATGTCTGTATAGGCCGTTGTTGTGAGTGTGGACGGTCGGAGCATATATAACGTTAGCTTAGCCAAGCTACATTTAGAAAACACGCATTTTAAAAGGGTTTTTCGCCTGCCGTCTGTCTGCAGACTCAAAGCATTAATTCATGGTTTTTACTAACCGGTATCAGTATGTTGTTACTTCGGCATCATTTAGAAACGTGTATTACAATTAAATCACGGTCAAATATGTTCATCGTGTTGTAGTTGTAGCTCCCTTGCCAGCGATTCTCTCTCTAGTTTAGCATACTGAGCCTGGTTGTTCCTGGCCCTAGAACCACGATTTAGTCGGGCCAGAAAAAAGGTGAAAAAGTAGCCCCGGCCAAAACTAGGCCAAGTGGAAACGCAACCAAAAACGGGCCCCGCGCGGCTCGGCACGCTTAAAGCGAGCTACCCGCTGCAGTGGAAACGCGCCATTATATACTAATAAAGGACTGGCTTACCTAAAGCCAGTTGAGTAGCACTTGAAATGTTTTTGCTCTATGAAACCTGATGTACTTTATGATTCTGTTTTCTTCAAGTTTGTATTTTGTTGGTCGAACGCACTTATTGTAAGTCGCTTTGGATAAAAGCGTCAGCTAAATGTAATGTAATAAATACTTGTGTATGATGCTCTTGCTCTTTTGCACATCATGTATTTTGTTTTTGCTATGTTTGTAAAATGTAATTGTCTTAAAGGTGGGGTAGGTCATTTTGGAGAAACCGGCTCGAGTGCGCTAGAATTTGAAAATACACAACCGGAACAAATCTGCCACTTCCTTACAGAGCCCCTCCTCCTTCCACAGATTTTTTTTATATATTGTCAAAGCACTTCAGATATTCATTGCTATCGGGATGTCAAGAGCGTTCCATGGAATATAACAACAAGTGTATATCTGAGTCATTTTGAAGTCACATGGGCTTTTGCAATCATAACCAAAACACGCTGTGCAGCCACTCACTGCAACAAACCCTGTGTTACCTCCTGACAGTAAAAAGACTATCCAAATATCCCAAGATGCACTAGTTTTCCTCTAATTAAATATCTTGTAGTCAAAACCTTGGGAATACAATCAAACAGTAATGGCTGTTGCACAATGTTTATTATTCTGTAAAACTGCTATAAAGTATTGTCATGGGGATTAATGTGTAACTATGGCTTACAAGAAATATTACAATTATTTGAGTATTAAGAGGAATTGTAATGTGAGAATTGAAAGTAAAAACATTTAAGAGAGGGAGGTTTTGGCTCTTGCCTGAGGGGGGAGGTATAGAGTTAAAAGGGGGAGGTCCTTGTATCTTGACGTTGCGATTGGACCAGTGTCTCTCCTCGGCAGCGACAGGCCTCCTCTCTCTCCCTCTGATCAGTGGGTGAGAGAGGGGGGAGACAGCAGCACACAGCGGAGAACCCGGCGTGCGCCTCCGGTAAAAAAAAAAAAAACACCTTCCCGCGCCGTTACGCATGTGGACGTCCAGCCTCACCCTGCTCTCTGTTTCTGCCCCTTCCAGTGGTCATCCTCTGGTCGGATCGTCCTGTGCATCTCACCTGGATCCTGACTCTGAATGACGGGCGGAAGGTTTGACTTCGACGACGGTGGCACTTACTGCGGGGGGTGGGAGGATGGAAAAGCCCACGGACACGGCATCTGCACCGGACCCAAGGGCCAGGGCGAGTACGCGGGGTCCTGGTCGCACGGATTCGAGATAGTGGGGGTGTACACCTGGCCCAGCGGGAACACCTACCGGGGCTACTGGTCCCAGGGGAAGCGACATGGACTCGGTCTGGAGAATAAGGGGAAGTGGATGTACCGCGGGGAGTGGAGTCATGGCTTTAAAGGGAGATACGGGATCCGCCAGAGCCACAACACACCTGCGAGATACGATGGCACCTGGAGCAACGGGCTGCAGGACGGGTACGGGATCGAGACCTACGGAGATGGCGGTGAGACATCCTTAATGTGTGTGTGTGTGTGTGTGTCGCTTTAACAGCTGATGTGAGGATGCTCATGGAGATGCATGAGTCTGATATGATCTGTGTTGATATGGCGCACTGCGCAGTGGTCAAGCATCATCATTTACCCCCCCTCCCCTAAAATATGACTTCTTTCTTATCACCCTGGCTGTGTTTACTCGCTGATACAGATTCATGTAATGGGTCCTCTCCTCTTCCAATGCTCCTCTCGTTTGGCAGCTACCGGTTGCTGCTCATATGACAGAGGGAGGGGGGTGGCACCATGCCCCGGATAGTTTGAAATCAGAGCAAATCAGTCTGTTTGGAGCCAATAATAGCCAGAGTATCACCTCCGCCTCTTTCATTTCACATTCAGCTGCAATGACACACCTAATAAAGTGAAGCTTTTGAATGAATGCTAACATTTCCAAAGATTGATTTGAGATGGTGCCTAAAGATAGTTCAGAGGTGTTTTCACTCGGGATGCACCATATGGATGTCTTTTAAGCCAATACTTACCTGGTCCTCATGTGTTATACCAATAAGATAACCTGTAACTTCACATGATTGTGGTTTAAAAACATGAAGCTTATCATGCACACCTGCAATGTGGGATTGAATATCCCATAACTCTAACTGACATATTGTTAACGCAAGGAAAACAAAGAAATTGCATTTATTGTTACACTGCAACATAAATCGATATAAGACATGTCAATGTATTAAATACCCAATAATACGGCTTGGTCTGCAGATAAAAGACAATCGTTTAGTAGACTGACCCTATAATGCCATTGTAAACAACTTGTTTTATGTACATGCATCCCCATTTACTCCCAAATACATTATGTTTATGATCATGTATTGGTAATATATATTGTGCATCCCTAGTTTATACACCTTGGATGCATTTTCTGATTTTCTACATCTCTTTTTAAACTTAAGAGCTTTCCACTGTGCTGAAAAAACACATATCTGTCATCCATGATTCAAGCAAGTGAGAGGTCAGTGAAAGTGTGTGTTCACAGCCTGTATAAAGACCTGTGTGTTCAGAAACAGCCTGATGTCACAGACTCTAAACACTACACACACACAGTCCTTTCTGGTTATGAAACCTCTTAAGTCTTTGGGCGATTTGTGAGCATCCTCTCCTGACGGGGGCCGTATGCTGCACAGTAAAGGCCTCACATATGATGGCTGCAGAGGGTCGGGCTTGTGCAATCAGCTGATCCAGAGGCAGAACATCTGGCTGTCTGACCCCGAACATCCTGATAAGTTGATCTGCAGGGTCACCCAGCGCAGAGCCAGCCTGTTAATCTCGCCCTGTTTATCCTCGCCGAGTCCTGCCCACCTCGTGTATCGCTCTCTCTTTGAATCTCCCCATTATGGATTATTTAATTGTATTCCTCAATGAGATTGGAGCGCCAGCTTAACGGGCCTTTCTTATTACTCGGATCATGGTTGTAATACGACGCTCTGAAGAAGCTACAGTAGGACAGCACATGATCACTGGGCTCAGCGGCACATTAATGAAGTATTTCTCTCATTATGTGACTCATAGCAACTCCTTGTCGTCACAGACAAGCGGCGGCTGTCAGTGGGGGAGTTATTGGCCGCCTGAAAATAGTCCCCGAGCTGAGTGATTCACATTCATCCCAAATGATCCTCAGTATCTGTACCTTAATCAAATCTCTGTGATTGAGTTAGTTATGCTCACAGTCCCAGATCTGAAGGGAAGGAGAGAAAACATTTCATTAGCCGACATACTCCGCTGCAAGGC